AGGGCTTTCCTTTTACTGAACAATTTTCACTTAACAGTTCTTATTATGAAGTTCAACCAGAGACTTTTGCCTGTAAAAAATGAAAAACAGAGAGCAAGTAAAACACAATATTTCTCTAGTATATACGGATGTTAGAAATAGTTTGTTTTCTTTGTACTTTCACATACACATTAATGTCTAAATTTGAAACTTAATTATAAGGACATCTTAATTTTTGACTTTTAAAAATGTTCAAGACAATGAATTTTCTTGAATTAAAGATTACACTAGCTTTAAAAATGATCAAGATACATGTACAAACAAAATCTCAGATGCTCTTGGAAACACATTTTAAGATATAGCACACATGATACACATTTCTTTTGGGGTTTGATTATCCTTTCGGGATACTGAAGAATACTCGATTTATTTTACACTAAAAATTTAGCTTTTGATAACCACGGCTTGGATAGATCACAAAATGGAACCTGACAGTTTTCTCAATATGCTTTCAGTCCAAATAACTCAAAATTTAACATCTCATGTCCTCAGCTGGATAAATTAGTTACTTTTTCTCATATAATTAATATCAGTGGGCTCTTGTACTGGCAGTCTGTCTTGGTCATGACTTACTCTTGCAAAGCCATCCCTTACAGTAACATATTTTCCTCAATGCAAGGAAATTAATCTGGATCAGTAACAAAGTCAAAGCCATAAATGTTTCAGGACATTCTTGAAAACAGGTTTCAACAGTATTAAGATCCTTTTTCTTTAACAATTTCCTTTTTCATAACTGTGCAGTCGCTACTTTATTCTACAAAAAAAAAAAAAAATTTTTTTTTTGAAAACCAAGTTTTTCATTGGCACGGAACTATTTGGAATGAACCCAAGAGACAGTGGAATGCCAGGTCTCTCCTCAAGTAGTTTCCTCCTCTCTTCACAGCGTTTAACTACTCTCTATCAATAATCTCATCACAGCCGAGCTCTTCGGTCAGACGATTGACAACCATGAGTGAAAAAAGCTCTTCGATGAAAGCCAACTGATCAAACGGGGTCTTCTCATAATGCATCTGAAACCCTCCATCCAGAGCTGCTTCTCTTGCTCTGGAGGTTCTCAAAAACATCTTGTTGGCTTCTTCAAGGGCCGCTGATACTCTGTAGCCTGCACCACTCAGCTGCTCCTCTTCCGGATAGTCGTAGTCGTCCTCCCAGTCATCGAATTCCTCGCCCTCGTCCTCGCTCTCGAAATCAGGGCCCGCGATCTGGCCTGGCTGCTCCCCAGGGCCGGGCCGGCTAGCGAGGCCTCGCTGCCCCAGCGGCTCCGCCATTGGCTGGGCGGCCTCCTCCTCCATCGGGCCTTCCTCCTCCAGCTGTGGCTGGGCCCCGGCGCGGGAGGGGTTCAGGGATGGCTCCCGGCTCCCGCCGCCTACCTCCATCTGCGGAAGGTCACTCTCGCCAGGCATCACATCCATCTGCAGGTCATTGCTTTCCTCATAGAGCTCGGACAGCTCGTTCATTTCAGACATTGTGCAAGCAGCTCAACCTCCCCGCAAGGCGTTTTCGGCAAGATCGGAGCTACGCGGCCGTGCGGTTGTGCGCTTGCGCAAGCACCGTGCGCTTGCGTGACCTTGTGCGTGTGCGCGACCCCCAGACACCGCCTACCCCTCGGAGCGCTGTTTGGGGGCCGGCAGCTCTCAGTTCCATCCCGGGGGTGTTCCCGGGGCTCGCTGGTCGGCTGTTTGTGCGTTCGAACTTCAGACCTAGATGCTGTACGTGCAAGAACATTGCTTGGCCTCTGCCTTACCTAACCGTTCTGCTGCTTATGATGCGATAAGCTTGAAAATACATGGCTCTGTAAGACTCCGTACTCCTCCTCCCTCATCGCCCCCCTCCTTTCTCTCCCTCTTTCTGCTCCTATTCTTTCCCCCATCCCCAGGCAGTCGCGTCTGTTCCACGGTTTTATCTGTCTTTTATCTGTGCGCTAATGACCGCTAAATCCGCACTTCCAAACCACACGAAGTTCTCAATCGCAGATCAACATATTTAGAATTTATCCATTCATCTCTCCTGTTTTTCTCATTTTAAAAAAAGTTAAATTCACAAATAAGCATATTATCGGTGTTCTTTAAAAAAAACAGGCAAGAAATACGTAGTCCCATTGCATTTCGCAGGAGATAAATGTACACTGTTACCAGTTTGGTGTGTATTTTTTAAATCCTTTTTCTTTGCGTTTACATGAATCTTTATGTCTTCGTGGAAAAAAATCTTATTTTTTTTTACATGTCTTACATTGTCTTCAACTGACAAAATAAGCAAACAAACCAAAAAAAATCGTCAGCAATGTTTTGAAGATTTACCTGTTAGTATGCATAGACGTATTTTTTCATACTATTCTATTTGTATAGCTATACTGTAGTTGACCTAACTATGCACAAATAACTTTCTATTTTTTGATATTATAAACTGTGCGTAATTGAACATCCACATGTGCCAGTATTTCTCTAGAATAAAAACCTAGAAGTGCAAAGATGGAATTTTGGGGTATGCATACTTTGGTTTTTAGTGAATGTCAAATTGCTCTCAAAGTTGCTGTACAAATTTAAGCTCTAGCCAGCGGTGTCTGAGAATATCCACACCGTTACCAGACATGATTTTGTTGAACTTTAACAATTTTATCCATTTAATGCCATCTTGTTTTATTTTTTATAGCCTTAATTTATTGGAGATTATCTTTCAATATGTTTATTGAACATTTCTATCAATATTACCTCTGAAAATTAAATGGTCTTATTTTGGGTTTATTTCTTTTTCTTATTGATATAGGAATTTCTTAAAAACTCTGTATATGAATACTTTGTTTCACATGTTACAAATATATTCTCCCTCTTGTTTCTTGGTTTGAGGGTCTTATACAAAAGTTTAAAAATGGGTTTTCATGCAGTCAAATCTAAGGGTTTCTTTCCTGTCTTTTTCTTTTTATTAAGATGGATTTACCTACCTCAGAAATCATAAGCATAATCTTCTATCTGTCTTCTAATGTTTGTATAGATCTTTTATGGATCAAACATTTATTTATAAATAGCATGAGGACAGGATTTATTTATATATTTTTTCATATATGTAGCTAATTCAGCCACCTCCGCTAAGTTAATCACTTGTCCTTTTGTCTGCTATTTGGTGCCACATCTATCATAGACTAAAAGACCACAAAAGTGTCAATCTGTTTTTAGACTTTGTAGTCTAATGAATTTCTATAGTTTTATAATATGTCTTAATAATAAGGAAAACCTTGTCTCTTTGTTCTTTAAAAAAATTGCCTTAGCTCTTCTTGCACATTTATTCTTCCAATGTGAATTTTAGAAGTAGTTTGAAAAGTTCCCTGAATGACATTGGTGGAATTTTTATTGGAATTGCATGGAATTTATAGACTAATTTGGGGGAGAATTGACATCTTTACGGTATTGTCTTCTCATCCGTAAAGGTGATATATGTCTTTCTACTTGTTCAGGTCTTATTTGTACCCTTCAATGAAGTTTTCTGAAAAGTCTTATGTGATTCTTATTAGTTTTATACTTAGGTTCTCTTGTAAAATGTACCTTCCCCCTCTCCCCCATGCAGTGTCAAAGTGGCTATTGCTGATACATGGGAATGACATTGAAATCTGTATATTGATTTTATTTTTAGTAATCATTTTAAACTGAAACATAAATATAGAAAACATAAATATAGAGTAGTGCACAAATCATAAGTGTATAGCTTGATTATCACAAAATGAACATGTTTGTATAACCACTACCCAGATCAAGGAACACCATTTGCAAGATTCTAGAAAACCACTTGCTTTCTCTTCCTTTGCACCAAAAGTCACCACTATCCTGACTGCAAACAGAATAAAATACTTTTGCCTGCTTTTGAACTTGATATAAATTCAGCTGTGCAGTATACAATCTTTGTGACAGGCTTCTTTTTGCCCAAGAAATATATTGTTGCTATGTAGTAGCCCCTTGTTTGAATACCACAATGATCATTATTGGGATTGTTTCCAATTTGGGCTATTGTGAACAGGGCAGTGATTATCCTTATTGAGAAGATCTTTTGGTGTACGTATTTACACAGTTCTTTTGGATATACATCTAAGAGTAGGATTTCTTGGTCATCATATGTAAGCAGCTTCAGTAGATTCTGTTAAGGAAATCTGAAGACAGGATTAGCCAATTGGTGCATCGTTGTTTTAATGAACCCGTGAAACAGTGTGACAAATACATCTCTGCAAGTTGGTCATTACACTGTGGTTTCCAAATAAGCAAGCCTAGAATCTCAAGTAAAAGAGACAGTCTTCTTGGCTAACTAACGCAGTTCACTTGAATAGTCTTACTTCATATTGAAAGTCTTAATATTAGTGCCTTAGTAAGAATACTTTTGGTGGCAGATGACTGAAACTCAGTTCAAGCTAACTTATATAAAATTAAATAAATAAAATAGAAAAAATACATAAAAACATAAAGGGATGGGGGGAATGTATTGGTTGAACTGATGAAACACACATTATCCCCTGACTTTTTACTGTTTTTAACTCTCAGCTCTGACTTTCCGCCAGAGGGAAAGCTTCATTTTCCAGCAGGCTTTTCCCACATGGCAGCAAAAGATGGCTCCTAGAAGCTTTGGGCTTATACTAAGGTCTTAAATGGCAGGGAAAGATGCATTCTATTATTCATCTCAGTTCCTCCCCAAAGATGTTGATTGACTTTGCTGTATCCAGCGGGATGGTGTTTTCTGATTGGCTAGGCCTGGATCATGTATCCAGATGCAAGGAGAGGGGTAGTGAGATGGGCGTATCAAACCCATCTGAACCTCATGGTCTAAGTGAGATTATTATAGAAAGTGGGTGGAGTGGTTTCCCAAGGCATGCCGAGCAGGCAAAACCAAAACAAGCAAATGTATGTACATTACTGTTAGATGGTATGTAACTAGGTATAATTAGTTTATAGCATTATACATGTTTAATTGCTTATGTTTTCCAGATTATTGCAAATCATCATATGCAGTCTATTTCATTTGCTTCTGGAGGGGATCCGGTAAGTATGAATTCATAAAAGTCCTTTTGTGCTGCGGAGTGGCTGGGGCCGTGGGCCGTGGCCGCTGGGCCTGCGTGTCCGGAGCCTGTGCTCCGTGGCGGGAGGGGCCTCAGCTGTGGGAGGCCCGTGTACCGCAAAAAAAAAAAAAAAAAAAAAAAAAAAAAATTTTTTTGAATTCTTTTCAACGCAGAGTTCCAGGAGATCCTACTAATCAACTGGATTTGGTATATGAGGGCAAGCCTATTTGCCATTCTGGCCGTCAACCAAGGCAACTAAATCTAATCCGAAACGAGCAACTAGGTTTGCAGAAACTCATGGAGGGAACGCTGAGATGGGGAGAGAAAACTTGCAGTTCATCCCTACCAAGAGGCCATGTGATGCTCATTTCCCATGAATTGTGCAGGACTGAGTCAGTGCTGTCCCTCCGAGCCTTCTTTGCAGAGTGGAGGGTCATTCCCTGACCTCCAACTGCATCAGCTGTGGACCAGAGCAAAAGGAGAGGGTCATTGAAGCTAGGAAGCCTGTGACTGACCAAGAAACAAATCTGTTTAAACTGAGGGAGGAGGAGGAGGGTTTTGCTCCTCTGTGACATTGTGACATTTTTCTTGTACCTTGAAATATAGAGTTGACCCTTGAACAATGCAGGGATTAGGGGCCCCAATCTTCCACCAAGTCAAAAATCTTCCTATGACTTACTGTGGGCCCTCCATATCCCCAGGTCCTCTATATCCGCCCTCCATCCGGCCTTATAATCTGGCTTCAACAGTGACTCCAAGGACATGTTTGGTAGCAGAGAGGGTTGACTGCCAGTCCGAAAAGGCCCACATTGTCTGTTACTTCTCTTCCTAACCCATTATAACTCAACCATCCATGAAGGAACTCAAATACTTTCCTTAAGCAATTTAAAGTAATGAGTTCTGTAAGAGTAGTGTGAAAAATAATTGTTGCTGTTTGCCATAAATTTTCCTTTTCAAGTTTCAGTGGTTGCTGTCATTTTAGAATTGGTATGAAAATCTTTATTTTACCCTAGGCATGCCCTGCATGGTGTCTACCATAGTTCTCCAGAATCCTAATTCTTTTTAGACTGTCTTTATGTGCCTTCAGTTCTTTATTTCTTTTGACCAACCAAAGCACTGCCCCTACAAAGACAAACAGGAAAGAATTGTAGCCACTGTGGGAAAGTTTGTACCTACTGAATTGAGTGGCACCCTTGTGCTCTCTGCAGCTGGAGAGAAAGCCTGCTGGTTTTAAATAGAAAACTGGAGTGACCAGAAGCCTTGGCATTAAAGGTCCCCCGAGTGAAGTTCTACCCTCAGGTCAGGAAAGCAGAATGGTGGAGTGCCAGGCTCTGGAGTCAAGTAAGACTTGACTTATTTAGACTCTAAGCTTCAGGGTCCTCATCTGTAAAATGGGGAATGATCACCCTTGCCTCAAGTGCTGTGAGAATTAAGTGGAATGGTGCATGTAAACTGCTAGCACAGTGCCTGGCACAGAGTGATAATTGTCACCACTGTTGCTAACATATGTCTGTATTTTCTTAGGACACTCACTGAGATAATTTACAGCTTCACATCAGATAACGGTCCAAGGGGTAGGCAACCGGAAGTCTCCATGGCCCAATGTAGTACCCATTCTTTCTACCATTGTCCCTCCAAAATTTCAAAAATACTGGGTGTTCCTCTCACCTCTCCACTTTGCTCACCCTCACTTTTACTCTCGTCTCATAAACAGTTTACTTGTCTTCCTTCTTTCAGCCCTGAAGGCAGTTGTTGGTAATGCTTCTGTGTCTGTATACGCTTTCTTCATCTCAAGAATGCATTATGAGTATGTCAAAATTAAATATATTTCTTAGATTCCCCCCCCCACTATTTGTGCTTTACTTTTAACATCCTTTAAGTTCTCCTAGATATTTACAGTTATAGAATTTTAGGACTGTGAGAATGTTGGAGACTCTTTTGAAGATGAGGAAGCTGAGGTCTGGAGAGGCCCCATGACCTCTTTCCCATCAACTAATATAGCAGACAACATTGCTAGCATCATGCCACCTCTTCAACTTTAAAATGAGCAGCCAAGCCCCTGGCAGTTGTGGCTTTGCTTCTAAATTATATAATGTAAAGCTCATAGATATGACCTCATTTATTTATAAGATATTTCAAATCTTTTGTCTTTTTGCATAAGAGAGATTTACTTAGGTGTGTGTTATTTTTTAAAATAACTGAAGGCGGGCTTCCCTGGTGGCGCAGTGGTTGAGAGTCCGCCTGCCGAGGCAGGGGACACGGGTTCGTGCCCCGGTCCGGGAAGATCCCACATGCCGCAGAGCGGCTGGGCCCGTGAGCCATGGCCGCTGAGCCTGCGCGTCCGGAGCCTGTGCTCCGCAACGGGAGAGGCCACAACAGTGAGAGGCCCGCTACCGCAAAAACAAAAAACAAAAAACAAGCAAACAAAAAAAACCAAAATAACTGAAGGCAAGTTATGCTGGCCCTGAGATCTGTTTCCTGTATGATTCATTGTGGGTTATTAAGTGATTGTCCTTGAGGGTATTACAAACATGGGCTTTTATTTCCTGCCAGTTGACTGCATCTTTCCTCTAGAGAGTCATACTTCTAATCTGCAAATGGCATTGTGTGTATTTTTTTTCCTGAGAACTGAGATAACAAAAAGCATCTTTAATTATTAAAATCTTATTCATCAGCATACTGTTTTCAATAAAAATCAGAATTACCAGGTAGCTTTTTGTTTATTTGTTTTCCAAAGCCAGCAACATATCTCTTTTTTTAAACATAAGTTTAAATGGTGCTATTATCTTTCTTTTAAAGTTTTTTATTTTTATACAATTTTTAAAGGTAAAGTCCATTTACACTTACTACAAAATATTGGCTCGATTCCCCATGTTTTACCATACATCCTTGAGCCTACCCAGTAGTTTGTACCTCTCACTCCCTGAACCCTGTATTGCCCACCTGCCCCTACTCCACTGGTAAGCACTAGTTTGCAACACATCTCTTTTTGAACTCCTTAGGTTTTTCATGGGTTCTCTTTTTCAAAAATGATCTCTCCTTTCTATGTATTGATCAAATAAGTGCCTTGTATTTTTGCCCTCTTATTCCGTAAGTTGCACTGCACACAAGCAAGCTAACAACCGTAAAACCCATGTCTCTTTAATCAACTTATTTTGTGACATATGTGGTATCTGTTTGGACAACAGGGAAATCATTGTGCCACATCCTAGTCTGTGACACCTTTGTGACTGCATAACCCCTGCTATTTCAACTTTCAACACAGGAGAGTTATAGTTCCTAACCATTTTTTTGTGAATGTTTGTCCTAACATATTCCCTACTGCATTCTCTTTTGTTCTTAGTGGCATGGTCTGCCTCTAAATTTTTAATCTTCAAATTCTCTCCCCAAGGGGCAGAGAATGTGGACTCCACACACAGTTGCTAAATATATAGTGTATATTTGTTTATGTTCCCTCCTAGGATGGCTTTCCTTTGCTCTTTAAACAGAAACCTTAGTATCGGTCCTTGCCTGAGTATCATATCCTAAATGTACTCTTATCATTCAACAGTAACAATCCATTCATTTTAAATGCAATCATTTTCCCTTTTTTATAGGATACTACAGACTATGTTGCCTACGTAGCTAAAGATCCAGTTAATCAACGAGGTATGGAAAGCAACTTCTACATTTTCTTAAGAGCTGGTATATACCAACTTTAAAAAGTAACAAGCAATTATTTTCAATATGCAAAGTGATGAGAATCACTAGAATGCTATACTGGGGTCTAGAAATATTAAGTAACTCTGAGTTTGAAATAAAAAGCCCTGCTAGCAGAGCAAAGTAGAAAAAAATATATAGGTGGGATTTAAATCCCACCAGTCATTTGAGTCATTTACATCCCATAAACCAAAAGGCTTATCATCTATTTGTATAAGCAAAAGAGAAGCTGTTTTGGTTATAATAGACGGGGCTGGCTGCCACATCCCCAGTGGACAAATGAGTTACCCTTAAGACTGAAACCAGTGATGTCATTGGCCTGCAGTGGCCTTGGCAAGTGTGTGTGTGTGTGTGTGTGTGTGTGTGTGTGTTTATATGCATTGAGCCTGTGCACTTGCTGTTCAGGAGCCTGGCATGTCACTCTGTCTGGCATTTTCTCATCTTTTGGATCTCAGTTTAAATGTCTCTTCTTCAGAGAGACCTTCTTTGACTGATATACTACCATCTCCAGTAGTATATGCCACCCTGCTGTGTCCTAATACTTTATTTCTCTTCTGTTGACAGTTATCCCACATTTTTGTTATTTTATTTACTCACTTGTTTATGTGTTTAGTGTCTTTCCTTTCTACTGAAAGCTCCTGGAGGGCAGGAACCTGTTTATCTTATTCACCGTTGTTTCCCAAGCAGTCATCACAGTGCCTTGCACATAGGTGATGTTCCATAACTATTTTTGTTGAATGACTGAGTGAATGGAAGAGTGAGTTGATTAGTTGTCTTATCCCAGGATTTATTAGCAAGGTTATACCTAAGAAACTCACCTTCCAGCCACACTTTGGACCAGGGGCCTGAAGTTAGGCCATTGAGCCTCTGCAGACAGACATGCAGAGTGTTGCTTCTCATTCCTAACTCTGGGACATTCAGACTCCTCATAGGGACGAGTGTTAGGTTGCTTCTCATCCTTAATTAGAGCCTATGAATTGAGCAGCATCCCCTGTCACCCCAGGGGTGGAGTTTGCCCCCCAAACATTTATTAAGTACACATGGAGTGGAATTTGGAAATTCAAAGAGCTATAAAGACACAGAGGCGGAAATGTGCGTGGCATACTGGGGACAGGTGAATAAAACACTAGAATGCAGATTGTGTTTGGAGGAGAAAAAAGTCAAAAGGGCATCCAGAGGGCAGATAGGAGAGAGCTAATAAGTAGGAACTTATTCCTATGGGCCAAAGGGTGGAGAAGGCTGTTTATAAAACAGAGATTTAGGAAGGTTGATTTGACAGCAGGATGCAGTAGATGGATTCAGGGAGGGAGGGAGGTCAGTTTGGAAGCTATCGTGATTGTCAGAAGTGAAATTATGAGGACCAGCTGCTGGCATAGGACCTGGCACGGAGTAGATTCTCAGTAAATGCAGGCCAAGAGAACATGGCTCGATGAGATGGAAAGAAGGAACAGGTGACAAATACTGTGCAATACTGCATTAAAATAGACTCTAAACTACATAATAAAGAGAGGATATTGCTCAAAGAGTAGATAGAAGAGACAGGAGCTAGTGAAGGGGAAACGGGGGGAGTAGAACAGAACACAACAAAGGATACTAGAAGAGCAACCTCTTTTAATCGAGCCTGAGCTTCCCTAAAGAATAAAAGTATGCTATTTTGGGGAAGGTCTCTGAACAACAAAGCCCTTTCTCTCAATCTGAAAAGAGCAGGGTGAAAGGAAGAGCAAATAGATCAGGAAATCCAGATGTTTAGTAACTTTTCCATCAGTCACTGAATATCTCAGGCATGTCATTGCTCTTCAGTAAACAGCAGGAGGCATTCAAAGATTCTGCTCTTTGCTGAGGCTAATGGTGAGCAGGATCCACACGCTTGCAAGTCTCCCTGCTTGCTTAAGTGAAATACGAGAGGCAGAGAAAATACCATGCAACTCGTTCACTTTTTTTTTTTTACATCTTTATTGGAGTATAATTGCTTTACAATGGTGTGTTCGTTTCTGCTTTATAACAAAGTGAATCAGTTATACATATACATACGTTCCCATATCTCTTCCCTCTTGCGTCTCCCTCCCTCCCACCCTCCCTATCCCACCCCTCCAGGTGGTCACAAAGCACCAAGCTGATCTCCCTGTGCTATGTGGCTGCTTCCCACTAGCTACCTATTTGACATTTGGTAGTGTATATATGTCCATGCCACTCTCTTGCTTTGTCACAGCTTACCCTTCCCCCTCCGCATATCCTCAAGTCCATTCTCTAGTATGTCTGTGTCTTTATTCCTGTCTTACCCCTAGGTTCTTCATGACATTTTTTTTTCCTTAAATTCCATAACTTGTTCAATTTGAAATCTCCTGTTCTGGTGTCCGAGTAGTTCATCAGAGCTGAGTTGCTAGAAGGGGATCCACGGGGCTCCCAGCCTGGGGATTCTGCAAAGACATTTATGAGAACTATTGACTGAGCTCATGGATGGGATTTGAGAGTTGAGAATAGATTCAGAAATGGCTCAAACAGAGGTTTCATTGTTTTCTTTCTTTAGTCCCCAGCCCGTGTATAGGAAGTAAGAAAGGTGCTGGAGTCAGTCTGGGTGGGAATCATAATTTTTCCCCCATCTCACCATAGGCCTCAGCCAAGCTGTTTCACGTCCTGAACCTCAGTTTCTTTAAGTGGGAGAAATAACATCTACTTGCTGGTGTTATTGGGAGGAGTAACTGAGGTAATACGGGAAAGCATTATTTCCTTTACAGTCTCTTCTCATCTTTCTTCTTTAGGGAAACAGATCTGTTGAGTAGCTAGATGACTTAGAAATCTACGGTGATTTTCTTGGGCAAAAAAGTTAGTATCTCCTCATCACTTACTGCTCCTTTTCCTGTCCCCTCACCCCTTCTCTTGTTTATCTTGGTTGGGAAGCCTTCTGCGAGAAGCCACTCTGTTCACAACATACCCACTGCTTGCGCATCCCTCTAGTGTTAAATCCTTCCCCCTCACCTGAGCCTCTGGACTTTCATTTCTGTACAAAGGTACCAACACAGCTCTTGAGTCCACAAATAATTATTAATTACATACTAATTTACAACGGGCTGAGGTAATTGTTGTGGGAGGAAAATAATTCCTGGCCACCATGGGCTCATCATCACGGGGGAGAGAAACAGAACTTGTAGGGTGTGCAGGAGAAGTAGGGGAGCATAGGGAATAGTGCTTGGAGCCTGGCAGGTGCCCAGGTAGGCTTTGTGCAATAAGTGAATAAAGGCGCAGGTGGAAGAGCTGTGCAGTGAGAGCTTGGGGCTGTGGGTTTGGATGGTGGGTAAAGGTGGGATTGCAGAGAAAGCAAAGAGTAGAAGTAGGGGAGCCGTGGCTGAGAAGGTAGGGAGATTGTGGAGGCTTTGAATGCCAGCCAAAAGGTCACTGGGGGCTGTTGAAGATTTTGAGCTTTATAAAAAATTATTCCGGCTTCTGCCATTCTACTGAAATTAAAAAATGATCATTTTTCTGGCCTTTGTATCTGTAAAGGTGATATCGGAGGGCAGGAAAGCAGTCTGGAATTGTAGAGTCCAATTTGGAGGACGTCCCATTGGTCCTGGGCAGGGGTGATGATGCTTTAAACTGCACTGGGGGAAGGAGGGACGGTCTGGACAAAATTGTGAACTAATAGTACTTGGGAGCTATTTAGATACGAGCATTGATTAAAAAAATAGAAACCAGATGATCCTGAGTAAAAAGAAAAGAATGTTCTGAATCCTTGAATAAATACAAAAAAAAACAGTGAAATCGGAAAGACAATGTTATAAACTTACCTGGTGAGTTTGGTTCATCCAGGGGAAAATGTTCAGTAGAAAGGAGACGCCCAGAGGTTTGTGGGGCCTGAGGAGAGACAGGCCTTCAGGTGAAAGTTTGGAAAAGCTGCAGCTTCTTAGCCCTAAGGGTGAGCTAGATCACTGAAGGAAGAGCCCAGAAAGAAGAAGGCTGAGGGTCTCAGGGAGTGGGAGAAGACCAAGAGGTGAGTATCCGCTAAGATGCACGAAGATGTTCTTCTCGGAGAAGAACCTGGGAATGTCTCAGACAGACTGGAGAAGAGAGTTAAGGGCAATGGAGGTAGAAAACGCCATTCAGTCCAGCAGTTGACAGGCCACTGGTCACCATGGGAAGCACAGTGTCAGTGCGAGGGTCAAGGCAGGAGCCAGACCTCAGGGATGAGGAGAGCCTGGGGGGAGCCAGGCTTCATGCTAATAATCCTGAATGCTCCCACTGTCTCCCATCTGCTTGATTCACTTATAGCAGTAGTGCATTCAGGTCAGGGAGGCTGCCACTTTTTCCATCTTGGCTAGGACTCTTCAGTGAACTCCTTATTCTATAAAAGGCCTTTTCTGTAGAAAAGGTCAGTTCCAGTAAGAGTGTTTTGAGTTTACCTAGTGACTAATACAGCCTGCTCCTATAATTGCTATAAATGAGGAAATCTCTTCACTTCTTACTCCAAATGTGTGCAGTCCAGAAAGGCTTAAATATTTTCTCTGAATCTAGTCTGTGAAGAGGTCCCAGTTTACCTGAACTACCTGGATATAGGAAGGCCATGGTCCTGAGTCTCTGAAGAAAGCAAAAAAAACCCCAAACCAAAAGAAAGCAACAAAACAAAAACAAAACAAAAGAACACTGTAAAACCAATTTAAATTAACCCAATTATGTATATTTATGTTTATGGTTATAAAATACATGCGTTATCGTCCTGGTGACATTCCGAAACTATGGACTGGACTGCGGGCTAGTTTCTTCAGGCTGGTTTCTTCCTAAGGGGTGTTAGGCTCCGCGCTTCAGTCCCACAGCACCATCTGGTGGTTGATCTGAGGAGCTGCACTCTTGAATTTCTAGTTTTCTAATAAAAACCAAAAGCAAAAACAAGCAAACAATAAAACTGGTCCATTTAAATATAAAACAATAAAGAAGGGCCTGTTATTCTCGAAGAATTGTTTTCAGCCTCTTGTCCATGACTATCCAATTAGGAAACCAAATGAAAACGACAGAAGAATAAGAATCCAAGATTCTTTTAAATCTTACTTAATATAAAGTACAGTACCTGATACTAAGAATAGAATTGTAGGTCTATCTGGCTACAAGGCAGGATGAAAAGAACCCAGGTGTGTTTCTGATTCCAGACATGGAGATCAAGGCTCAGGCCTCCATGCAAAATTATCACATCACTGGAAAGTCAAATCCTTTCTTGGGGAATTGGGACTTTTTATATGCTTGTCTTTCTTCCTTCCCATTAGCTAAAGATTGGGAAATTCCTGGCTAAGCTGGTGCTTATCTGAATTTTTGGAGATGGGTCTAGCACTGGGAAAGGGGGCAAACCCGTTCCTATTCTGGCTCATGACCAGCCTAGAAAAGAACAAAGAGCATTTTCACAGAGCAGCATGTGAGTGGCAACGAGAGCACCATCAAAATGTGTGTGTTCCCTGAAGTTGGTGAGGCTGCACAGGACACCTGCACAGGGTCAGACTTTTTGTCCAGTTGTTTCTTTCATGGAGATAGGCACCACTGTGTTTTCTTTTTCTTTCTGCTTAATCCAAAAAAAAAAGTAATATGACAGCAATAAGGTTATCCAGAGCAAAGCAGAAAGTGTGTTGGTAGCATCAGCCCAGGAACAGGACAAAAACTTCAAGTATCAGAGTCAGAAAAGTTGAGAGAAATAAAACATTTTAGAAGTACGTGAGAAGTGGTAGAGGACAGTTAGTGGGTGGGTTGATTCATTCATTCCTGTGCCCATGTGCCTTGCCCTGTTCCTCAGAGGGTTTAAGCTACTGCGACTGAGGGAGGATAGGATTTCTATAAAGCAAGAAGGGATTCAGAGATCATGCAGGGCCCTGTCTTGGCAGGTGAGGACCTTGCTATAGAGTACCTTATTCACACAGATTGTGGCATAATTAGAACTTGAACTGGGATCTGAATCTTTTCACAGAGTTTTTTCAGCCGTCTTTGTTCTCACATCCCTCACATGGGAGGTACACTTTGGTCTTCTCCCTCCCTCCCTCCCTCCCTCCCTCCCTCCCTC